TAATCTCGGTAGAATAATAATAATAAGTAACAACCCCTTAAAAGAAACAGCCATTGATAACTTTACAATTGCGTATTTGCCTATTGCTACGTGACCACATGATTTTGGATTAATTCCGAGTGCTTTTGGTTTTCCCAACTAGCTAAGGGAGAGAGCGGTTTCTTGATCGTGCTCAGAAACAATAATAACAGGAATATAAGCATGTTTTCTGAAAGCAAGAGAAACATAATGCTATTGAAAACTTCATTTTTGAGGGAGAAAAGCCCTGGAATTGATGAAATCTGAGTAAAACTTCAGCATTAGAATTTGCGCACATGTAGATCTTTTCTTTGATCACGGCGTGGCACTGTTGTTTTTAACACCGTAAGCATCAGCATCATCGTCACTAACTAATATCACCGTCATCACAGTAGTGGTCATTGTTAGTTCGTCAATTATCATTTTGTGTAAAATTATTTTAAACTTTGGTGCCAGTTGTCGTCAATCAACAAAGTTTAAAATTAAACCGGTGAGAAATTCTCCGGTTGTATATGAAAGCGTGAGAAATTACACTACAGCGTGACAGCGCCAGCACGGAAAACCCCTTCTTTCTTTTTACTCCTTTTGTCTTCATCGAAATGGAAAAATAAAGGCTTTCAGTTAAATCATTTTTAGCTAAAATTTTATGCTCTAAAATTTCCTAATTTCAAAGGTTTCATTTACTAAACAGTGCTAAACTCAAAGCCAAACCGACCTCCCCTCTGCTCTTTTCCCTCTTTCTTAATTTTTTGTTCTACTGTAAACGCAAACATTCGGAAAAAGACTAGTATAAAGGAAATGGTCTTCCGTAGGTTCTGTTTTATGAATTCAGTTTCAAACTAGAAGTAATCTATTGAAATAAACCTATCTTCAAAAGACAGACATATTTTGTTCGCAAGATCGAAATCCTGGGTTTCTAACTCGTCGCTTGAACCTCTGACTTGAAATCAGACTCCAAGATTTTTTAAGTTTGGCTAAATTTAAGAACTAGAAGGAATCGAGTGACAGCTTTGGATTTCGATGATTTCATAAGCTGCGGGTCAAAAGCCGTCATAGTGACTTACAGTCAGTTTTTTCATAAACTGACTTTCTCCTCAGTCGTAGTAAAAATGAAAAATATCATAAAAGTTTTAAAACACCAGTAATTATTTTGAAGTGAATGGTACTTCTCAAAAGTGACAAGGACTATTCTCGTTGTGTTGCTTTATGGCCTGTAGTGCATGCCAAAGTAGCTGAAAACGTAGCGTAGAGATTCTTGTTCTTCGGTTCTAACAGATAAGCCGAACAGTGGCTCTGGTTTGTTGCTTATCTCTTTAAACGTATTCTGAAGAGTGAAAACTCATCGGAACTGTCCCTCGATTTTACACTTTTCGTTGGTTCAATGCCACCGTTTCACAAGCATCCATAAGTAGCGGAATTGATTTTTTGCTGATTAACTGATTAGCTGTTATTAACGATGGTTAAATGGAACGACGAACGAGAAAAGGATGGGCCGGGAAAGTGTATTATTGCTACTGCTACTGCCCTGTCGCGACACCGATAATGATTTGCGTGCCATCAGGAAATGATGACACTGATACCGACGATGATACTGATAGCGACAATATTGAGTGGCAGGGTGGTGAAGATGCTGATGGCAATAGCATTGATGACAGTGATAGCGACGATAAATTAATAATTATAATGATAATGGCGGTGCACACGTCCTCTTCTTTCGTCCTCTACGCACCATGTAGTCATTCAGTGAAATAATATTCCTTTATACTTACCAGCAATGCAACACAGTCTATATGATCCTTAAATTTTGTTATATTTTACCGATTTGTTCTTTAGCAGCTAAGAAGTGAGCAAGTTGTGACAGTTTCAATTACTATTGTATTCAATTTTTGCTGGATTAAGCAGTTTAGTGGAGTAAGGCCCAGTTCTCCAGAGCGGACTACACATTATGCCCAACTAAACAAATTTCGGTTCGTTCGCAGGGATTCTGAGCTGTGATTTAGGAGAGGCACCCCTCATTTCGCTGATATTTCATGCTATGGTCGGTTTTGTCGTCAGTACTCAAAGACACAGGCTCGCGTGGAATCATACGCCTTCGTCATTACTTTTGCCAATTTTTGTGCTAGCAGCAGGGCTGAGTGGATTTATTACTGTTACATATAGAGCACATGGAGTAGTGCGTTTACTGCGAAAATGCGAAGAACTGTTATGGGAGGTTTTTTTCTGCCAAATGACAAAAAGGATTGAACCACTCGTCTTTACATGCGGACGCAACGTACTCAGCCACTGCAATGCCATCTTTTGTCTCACAGTCTCGACTTGGGGGCACTTCTACTTGTGTCCACATTTTAAATCAACATATCCTTTTCTCTTTTTTTTCTGCCTCTCTTTCGCAGTATACAAAATTGTGGTGCTTCTTTGCCGGCTTTCTACGGATTTTCTCTGCAAGAACAAACATGTGAAAAATAAGGTCTGCAGCAATGAGATCAAAACACTTATTTAGCAATGATTCTCAACCTTCGAAATGGCCATTTGTCAGGATGCTAATATCTAAAGTTATTGTGACCAGTCGTCATTGATATTTTCAAGGGGGGTAACTTTTTTCTTGAAGTTTTTATTACTTTACCATCTTTGTTTGCTTGGTAAATATTAAAATTTGTTTTGATACAGCAAGCAAATAATAGTGGTATCGCAACTTAGTTTTGCTCAGAGGATTGCTTCTGTGCTGCCAGCAAAAAAAATTCGTTTCCCCTAAACGCAATTCATATCTACCTTCGTGCGTCCTTTTTCATGGTGTTGTGTCTTAGGATTTTACTGATTTATTTTCAGTCATACTTCACAAGTAAAAAAAAAAATCTACATAGCTCTAATACAAAACTGCTGTCAGTAACTAGACACTATGAGTATGGGTCCATTATTGTACCAAGGAGAGGACAATCAGCTCACGTTCGTTGTCTTCCACTTCGCCCTCATTTCTCTTCTCCCTCCTTTTCTTCGATGCATTTGGCTGCAAGAGGCAAGTTTTTATGGCTTTATCCTAAAAATTTCCAGTACATGTAATGGCTCATAATCCAAAAAACTTGCTGCGATGTGAACTAAAAATGGATTAATGGACAATGCACTAATAGACTGCTGACTGTACAGTACCTGCTTGCAAAATTGCGCTCCCCATTTTTTGCCATCATTTGCATACTGTATAAAATGATGCAAGTGAACAGACGTGGCTGCCCGCCCCTGCTTTCTCCTTTTTACTGCTGGAACATGTAATGACGACCGGGAGGACGAGGACGAGGAGGACGGCGGCAATGTGTCAAGTGTATCGTTTTTCCGTTTGGTATGTTTCGAGTTTCCAAGCAAAATGAATTATCACCTTCCATTCATTTGCTTTTCGTCTAAACTTCTGCCTCTTCTTGAATTTCTTCTGACTGACTGATGATTGGCTTAACGAAGCGGAACCTGTTCTTCACGCAAAGGCGTGGGCACGGAAGGGGCTGTTTGCAACGGAATCGCATTCCTCCTCAAAATGCTACTTAATTCAATTTCGCTTCACGCGCACATATCAAATTTACATTACACATGAAATGAATATTTTAAGCCGCCAAATCAGCTTAACTCGAAGCAGCATATGTGTTGCGTTGAAAAGCACAGTGCACATAAGTGCCACACGCAGAATAAATTCCACACTTGTATTTTTTTAGAGCGAATATTTCCTTATGCTTTTGGCTGAAAAATGCACTGGCCTGACTTCTATTACCGCTTTTTTTCCATTTTTCGTTTTTTACAAAACACAACAATAATGGGAAGTAGCACTGTTGCCCTGTAATAGGTTGAGGATTCCACTCTGCCGCTGGAACAACCAGTTTTTTTTACAGTTCATTTCAGCGCTAAACTGATACTGGCGTACGCCAGGAATTCAAACCCACCGTCAGTTTACTTGTAGGCAATCCTCAGAAGTTCTCCCAGCGAATGGTTATTACTCTTGATATTTGTTATCGCTCGGGCTAAATTTCGTGTGCCTCTGTCTCTCGTAGAGAACAATGCGGAGCTGCTAGGATAATAACACGCAGTGTTTTAAGCCCGAACTGTATAATGTTTAAATTGTCAATTACTGGATTTGTATTTGGACCTGTCCGCTTCTCTTAACTTCCCTTACATATTTTAGCAGATCACACGTTTTGAAAGAAATAAGTATCCTAGAGACCTGAAATAACTGCTTCAGTCATATGAAAGCATCACAGTAATACCTAACACAGGGTCTCCACAACTGAAAAATGTTAGGGTAAAGGCCTGCCTTCGAGGTTTACACTAGGGCTCCTGTGTGTTTAGGTAAATCGTGTGTTACTTTCACACGAGGAACAATATGCGAGGCGCTATAACACACTACTTTTATTCAGGCACTCTCTGCATATTATACCCTTTGTACGTTACCTGTTCTGATCCATAGATGCGTTTGTAATAGGTTGAATACTTGTAATAAGCAGTTTTATGAAATACATGAGATGACCATGCTTATTTCTTTATTCAGATCCCCTTGGGCAAGTTTGAGTTATCGTCACAGACTTCTTAGATACTATGTTTTCATAGATTTCTTAATAGATATGTGAAGAAATTTATGAAAACCCAATATTTCCGAAATCTGTGGCAGCGACGTAAGCTTGTCCAGCAACTCCACATGAGCGGTCATCTCACAGATATTGTACATATATCACTTACAGACACTGCTCAGTGTAATACAAAGCATGCATAAACCAGCACGGATAATAATGAGTACACATAATTCGCAATGCTTTATCATACGTTTGTCCGAGAGGCTCGAAAGTCTTGTAAAAAAACATGGTGTTTTGTCTTTCGAGTGAGAGCGCATTTCATTTGCAGCCGATAAATTCCTGCGTAGTTACGTCAGACGCATAGCTATTTACACTACATTTTTAGCTGTATTTTACAGCGCAGGTGAATCCGAAAAAATTCGCAGGTCACGCTGCTCCGAAAAAAGCTCATGTGTGTGGGTGTCAATTTATGTGTATGAGTAATGCGGGGTTCGCTGAGCGTTCGTATAAAAACAAAAACGAAATGCGTAAGCCGCTTCCAGTAAGCTGTCGGATATGTAAGCAAATTGATCCGCAACTGTGATAATAAATAGTAGAATGCATCAAAAGTCAGCAAGGGCTGCATACGTTGCTTTTACAAAAGGCTTTTTGTGAAATGCGGTGAAAACAGTTGAACGAACAGAAGTTGATTTT